TCAGTTTGATAATCTGATTATCAATTTCCCGTGCGTAATACAAAATGACTGGAAAACGGCAAACTTTGCAAGGCTATATTATCCACATTTTACAACATTTCGCAACGAAACTTCGGAATATTACTAATTTTGTGATGCTCTTTCCAGCTGTGATGAAATTTTTGTCCAGGCATATCTAGATCAAAATTTCACTCATAAGGGGAAATGTCTATTAGTTATATCGAGTGTGGAAGTCCACAATCCTAAACTTCAATAATGCATATTTTCTAGGTGTTGAAGATCACACCCAATTCCAAATGGATATTTGAGAGGGTCTGTGCAGTCCCTCTCTCTGTTAAATTCATGACAAGTCCCATTCATGTGCCAACACAAATTGTTTGATCCTGTCATGTAATGAGATGTAAAGAAAGTTGTTTTGTATTGCTGTTTTCACAATGTCAATGTTTTGTCTTAGTGATGGATGTTTGACTATAGATTATGGTAAAAGGTCAATGTATTTCAGTACATGCCTAAAATCTTGGGGAGGTTTCTACCAGTTACAGTAGGCCTAAAAGTTATTTGGTTCTGGTTTCATGCTTCCAAAAATTAGGGTCAGTATGTCGGACTTTCTTATATTTTTATCAGTTTTGTTTATTCAAATAGCTGATATTTTAATGCGAGCAACGTTTTATTATTGTGTAGATAATATTTTTTGTGCACAAGAGGGTCTCACTTATTGTATATCATGTCTGGAAATGACTTTTTAATTTTTGCCAGTAAAAAAAATGTAAAAAGTAAGGTCGGGTGTCACAGGATAGCTGAGTCTGTCAGTGAACTGAAATCAAACATTTATTCGGGCCCTAGCTTAGCAACTAGTCATTGTGTGCATAAGTTCGGTTTTTCACAAGATCTGTAGATGCGTTCATCCCCCGTCGAAGCGAAAATGAGCTGTACAAATTATTTTTTCGCTTAAAATCACGGCTCATATTATGGAAAAACCATTTCCGTAGTTGAGTAAATGATTTTTTAAAATTTAATTTTTGGATACGGGTAATGCATGTATAGTTCACTTTTTGTTTTGAAAATCAACCAAGATGGCCTCGATTCAATCACTGTTCAATAGGAAGCACTTCTTAACCATAATCTATAGCCAAACATGGGGACGGTCTAAAACTGCAGGATGGTGGTTGACGCAGGTTAGTGGTAGAGGTTTGGAAATTTGGTTCGGATACGTTTTCCGCTGGCGGATCGTGTCTCCGAGAACACTATCCGCGTCGCGTCCCTCGCGTATTCTATCGCCTTCGAAAACTACTCGATTACTTTCAATAGCGCGACGTTTCACTAAAGTGATATGGACAACGCTTTTTAAGTTTTTCGTAACGTTTTCAACTTGGAAACTTGATATGCATGCAATGTAGACGAATTATAATAAAACCGGTTTTCCACTGCCCATTGGGCGGAATTTTGCGCGCGGAGCGGAATTTTCGTGAAAAGAAAGTCTTGTAATTCGTCTTATTATTGGAAAACCAGCTTTACAAATGAGGACACTATCCGCGGAAATGTAATTATAGGGGGCGTAAATATAATTCGTTTACATTGCATGCATTTATCTGCTATAGTGGATAGGGTAACACCAGCTTTAAAGGCGGGTTTCCATTCATTGCAAAATGTTGCGCGATCGTCTCTTTACGATCGCTTTCTTGTGAAGTACGAACAGTCAAGCGGAACTGAAATCTCATTAGCTGCAGTTGACTGCACAAATTTCAAAGAAAGCGATTGCAAAAAAATCGATCGTGCGACATTTTGCACTGAATGAAAATCCATCCTTAACCTGCGCCAATCGGCAACTGCAGTTTAGATCTCCCGAACATGGTGATCTGATTATGTAAATAAAGTAATGTTGGCGTCTGTTTAGTGGTGCACTGCGAAAGGGAATGTCGTGTATTTTTTGTTCTGTGTTGTCGAGAGGCCTTGTATTATGCTGTTCGTGTGTGTGTCCTGGTGGTACAATGTAAGGTGCGACGTGCACCTTTCGAGCTTGAAAAAAAGAAAACATTAACGGAAGAGAATATAAACATCGAAAAGGATTGTGTCCTGAAAATTGTAAATAAATTTACACAAAAAAAGAAGAAAAGGAATAAAATATCCACAAAACGCAAAAAATATTTTCAACTTTAATTGTAACTAACCTGCAGCAGACTTGTGGCGATTGTTTACCGGCTGATAGTTTCAGCAAATATAAAAGTAATCTTATTCCGAAAAAAATATGCATTTTAATTAACAACACATCTATTTAAAAAAAAATGTATATTTCGAATCTACTTTGATTCATCTTCTGTAGTATATTTATCTATTTGGCTCGATCTCGTTCCCCAAGCCTGCGATCCTCGGGAAGGAACGCTAGGCTCTGGGATAATCCGTTGCCGGAAGCCAGGAATCCTGGCTAAGATTGAACTGCGCATTCCATATCAACAGCCAATCAGATTCCTCCCTGAAACGGATTATCCCAGAGCCTCGCGTTCCTTCCCGAGGATCGCAAAGATTGTATTTGGCTCTGGATGAGAAATTTTCCATAAAACTCGGCCCAAGCCCCAGAAAACGCCATGTTTACTTTTGGAATCGGGGGCGCGGACAGTCGAAGTTTTAAACAAATACACTCGAAGATCGATAGCCATTTGAAAGCAGAAGCGTAGTTTTGTTGATATTTGCATCTGCCTCAAAGTGGCTGGATTTGAAGACATTTAGCGAAATACAACCATATTATTGCGGGTAAGTCGTCTGTGTTATTAGCAGTCTATAGTATTAAATGTAGTGGACGAACGTGTTAAATATATTATAAAAATGCTTTCGTGCTATGCAAACATACTTAAATCGTAGCCAGAAAGCTGCTTTGTTTATGCCCGTAATATGTGGGAGACCTAACGAAACCTGGGCGGGACAATTCTTGTCGCTAGACGTGAATTGAGGTTGAAAAATGGCTCATATTGGTCCGATGTGGTCCCGCATCCCAACCGAACCCGACTTACAGGCCGACTATCTTCGGGCCAGAACGAAGTCAGGGCAGTATATAATTGTAAAGCCTGGTTTACATTATCAGTAGGAATTTTACATGGGTAAATTGTACGTTTTGAAGAATTTGTATGAAATTTAAATCATTGTTTAACACCAAGTCAGTCATTCTTCTAAACTTAGAATTTACCTACACGTATGCAAAATTCCTGGCTGTGATTACAGTGTAAACCTGGCTTAAGGCTGTGTTGGCACGAAAATGGACCGTTTCAAAACCGTACCGAATTATATGGTGTTCAAATTATACACCGGAGTTATACGGTGTTCAAATTGGACTGATTTCATTCGATCACACGGAGAAATAGTGCAAATTTGAAGACGAATTCGTTCGATCCGTGAACGGGGCACGAGAGAGAGAGTCATATAGCCATCCCATATAGGTTATGCCGGCCATAGGCATAGGATTTTGTTGTCCCTCTGAATTCAGTTTGGATCATGATTGTGATGATAACCATGCATCTTCATCCAAAATTGAGACCATTGATTGCATCAGTTTCGACTAACGCGAAACGGAAATATTTTCGACGCTGAGCAGTCTCACATCAATGTGAACTTGGGATTTAATTTACATACACTCAAAACAATATGTTATACTCCGAGCGGTAATTATCGCTAAAATATGTTGATAAATGATAAGTTTGGGTTGTGCTGTAGTATACCGGGTCTATAGCCATAGGACCTAACAGAATAGCTCGACAAAATCAAATTATTTTCATACATGAATGTTTATATTAGATGTTTGCTGATTTTATTTAACTCGCATGATCAGATTTTTTGTAAAGGCAAACACGCTGTTGCTATAGCCATTTAAAAGGCTTAAGATTTAAGCTGTTAGCATTTCTTCTGAATATATTATAAGCATTATTCCCAAATATACGTATCAAACTAGGGTTTTGAGCTATAAAGACTATAGGAAAATATGCAAGCAGGGCATTTATAGATAGATGGTATTAATAATAATATATTATAAGGCTTTCTGGCCATTGATAGTTGGGTCTCGATGGATATGGTCTCGTAGAACTGACATGTTGCAAGGTTTCAAGGGGCGAGGTTGCAAATGCAACTATACTCTACAGCCGTCCGCTCTGGCAGGAATCGATCCTGCGATTCCTGTGCAGCGCTCAACCGGTACTGAGTTACAGTCAGTCCAGTTGTCAGTCCAGTTGTCGAGGCAGTCGAGCTCCAACCACAAGTTCTTGTATATATACGTCATGTAAATAGTGGATTATATGCCAGTAAAAGGTACTGGTAAATATCACTGAATTTTTTTGGCATCTCTTTCGATGGAACTATTAAGCCGCCTTAGACTAAGGCCTTTTATTATATGGGCATTGGAGGTGAGTTACCCGGCTAAGCGAGTTGAAAAGCGCACAAGATCAAAGGCTTAGGCTCATTACTCTTTCATTATATACAGTATATGCATTCAGTTTTCAACTCGCTTAGCACGGGTAACTCACCTCCATATTATCAGTCCCTAAATTTTTATTTTTATAGCGGAAGATTATATACAATTTTAAACCTAACCAGGAGCGGTTGCGAAAAATTCAACAATTGGCCTCTAGGCTCTACGAGGAGTCCACAATGGAACCGGGATGCGGGAATTAGGTTATTTTTTGATCGGGAAGCGGGATATTAAAAAAATATGATGCGAGATTCGGGAATAAAATTTCTTGCGGGATGCGGGATTTTCGCAATTTGTGCCTCGGGATTCGAGATATGAAATTTTTGTAGGATGGGATACGGGATTTAAAATACGCTCTTTGATGATTTTGAAGAGTTTTTGAGTCTGAAAAGATTCAATAAAAAATACTCCATTCACGTCAAATTATTGCATTTTGAAATTTGGCGATATTACCGGAAGTGAGCATCCCTGTCCATAGTAGAATATAAGGAGGGATTTTATACACGGATCCAGCATCACACTGTGTGAATGCCGTGGTCTAAGAAAGAGAGTACTGTTGAATGTTTTGCTGGAAACCGTAGCAAAGCTGGAATCCGAAACGGCGTTGTGAGCGTAACAGAGTTTTATCATCCCATAGGATTTTGTGTTGAGTTTAGTCATGTTTACGTTTGCGATGCGCACACAGCTGCATCAAAGTCGTCACAACCCTTCAAAGGACAGCAGATTTTCTAACGGCGATCGGTAAAATCTATGCAGCTTTTGTCCATGAGAAGCACCATGCTTTTACAACATTGGTCGAATCCTTAGATCATTTGCGTGAGAACGAGACGTCAATCAGACAGAATGTGTCACTAAGACTTCCAAAAATCCTGAATGGTCCTCAAGGTAACGTGGCAGCAAAGACAATTGGCTCAGTTGATGTATGCTCAAACAAAGCTTGGTACGACTGAACGAAATATCTACCGAGTTCGGCTACAAGTCTCTAACCCTTCTTAGCTGCATGGCATTCGATGTGGAAAATTTCCATTCAGTGGTGCATCCCAAGGCTCCTTTGAGCACCGTTTGTGCACCAATATGCCAAGAATTTTGGGAATGCTGTTAAGGAAAGCCTAAAGCGAACCAATCACTGGACAGCTTTCTACTATACGAATGTCAAATCCTGGTACCCAGTTCCTGAAAGAGCGTCACGCCTAGCAGCAATTCCACTTACGGAGGCACAGCAGTCGACCACCATTTCTCTCCAAGACGCCCAAACTATGAAAGAATGGGCAGACGCGTATGGAGCATCCGTGCGACAACGCACCGTGAGGCAGGAGACCACAATGTGCAGGACAGGGGCACTCCCAGATTGCCTGTACCAACGTCAAGTGCATCCAGGGAAGCCTGTCATAATTGACAGCCTCGGGAAGGATTCAGAGGCAGAAAACCAGGAAGAGAGGGTCGAAAAAGATGAGAAAATTGGAGGCGTAAAAGTTGATGATTACGATACAAGAAGCGTTGAAGACGACAACGATGAAGTCCAAGAAGAGGTCGAAGAGGAGCGTAAGAATAGGGTTAGAACTTTGGAGCTAGAAGCCAATTTTCTTCTCGGAATTACTGTCTCTCGATTTGGAAGGGCTATCAGATTTAATAATCGACTTGTGTTTTAAGATGCATCCATGCATGCATTTTCAAAGTACATTTTTAGTTTGCTTTCCCGTGCAACGTCATGAATTTTCGCGATAAAACTGACACTTTCGTCGTCATAGGTTACTAAGTTGCAAGGCGGGATCGGGATTCCACCAAAAACGCGTCGGGATTCCACCAAAAACGCGTCGGGATATCGGGAATTTTAGAAAAAATACATCGGGATATCGGGATTGGGGTAGCCTATTGGTGGACCCTCTGTGCAATAGCCAATTTTCTGTCATGAATGAATCATTACAGTATGGTACAGGTAGAGCTGTCCATAGGCCTGCAATAGTGCAGGGGGAGGGGCTGTAGCTGGACCCATTGACCTGCAATTTGGCCTAATGTGCTCTGTCTTGTTAAATTAATTTACTGTGTCTTGTTAATTTACTCTGTCTGATACCAAACAATTTTAACTATATTTCCATGCTTCATACTAAGTCCAAAAAAAGAAATGCCTGGGTTTCTATTTCTCATATGCAAAAATAATATCTTGTATAAAAAGATTAGGGTTGGTGATTTCTTTCATTAGTAAGCCCTAATGTCTCCTGTAATATACTTTACAAAAATAGTATTAAATCAAATGTAACCTAGTAGATCGTTAATTAAGCCAATATATACCTGGTAACCCATTAGACATGGCTACCCTAAGGGCATCCCCTATTTAGCCTAACACTATCTTGATTATTCTTGCTGTCTCAATGACAATTAAATCTAAAACATATTAAATAAATCTGATTTTATCAATTCCTATTTTTTCAGCTTTTGGTCTGGAAAAGTCTGTGGAAAGACAGCTGCTATGCAGTACAAGGTACAGGGCAAATGCTGTGGAGCTTGAGGAGGAGTAACTAAAAGCAGACCAGCTGAGTTAGACTTGACATTAACAATTAATGACTTTTAGGTACTGATTATTTATTTCTGGCCATGTATATAAATAAAATTATATAATATTAGGAAATTTTAAATAAGTGTAGGTTATAATAGTATAAAGTGTAATTACTCTGTAATTACGTTAATGTTCAATGCTGGGTTAAAATTTAGCCTGCTGTTTTAGTTTGTGTATTTCTACTGTACATGTCTGTTTATTTTAAACTTCAGAGAAGAAAACTCGTATCGATCCAGACAAGATCTCTGAAGAAATATTTCCACATTTATAGACAAGCTGTCAGGTTAACCTAGGGTTAAGCTAATCCAGCCTTGAACAACTGATTGAAAATTTGATTGTACAGTGCATAATTATATGTGTAACCTATAATTATATATTTACTAATAAATACATTTAATATTCTGATCTAGTGTTTCTTCATATTAAATTATTACGGCTTCAAGTGAACATGACAGAGGTACAGTTGCAGCAACTTGATGTTGCAGAAGTAAGAGGAAATAGTTTTATGTAAGAAATAAAACTCGCTTGGTGGCAGTTACATGTATGTGACATATCTGCTTGGTAGATAATATACAGATAATTTTATCTGTAGGGAAACTATACTGTCACATAACTGTGACAGATATTTTTTTGGGCCAAATTCCTTTATGTTGCAGATATGTGACAGATATCTGTCATATAACTGTGACAGATATCTGTCACATAACTGTGACAGATATGTTATGGGGCCAAATTCCTATATGTTGCAGATATGTGACAGATACTTTCGTACATATATTTTGCAGATATTTTACAGAACTGTGACATATATCTGCCACATATCTGTCAGTTTGGTAAGGGTTGCAACTTGCAAGATGATTTTTCAGTTTGGTCAAGAAAAATTTCATCTTGGTTCAGAACCCCTAGGAGGCTTTTCTACAGGCATGATTCAGAAAATAGCAACACTGTAATTACATATGTTTGATGTTACTCTGAGTATAACCATCCTGGCAAGCAGAAAATGCTTGACCGTGGTGGGAATCAAACCTGTGACCTTTGGTTTGCTAGTCCAAAGCTATGCCAAACTACGAGGTAAAGTCGGTTCGCTACATATGTGATATTTCGGAACAAGTTCTAGTTCCTTCGATATCTGTAAATTCTAACTAAGATGTTATATATGCGCGGCTTAACTAATATATTGACCTCGTAGCTCAGTTGGCATAGCATTGGACTAGCAAACCAAAGGTCGCGGGTTTGATTCCCACCGCGGTCGGGCAGTTTCTGCTTGCCCGGTTGGTTATACTCAGAATAACATCAAACATATATAATACATCTGAGTGCATATAACACCAAAACAACACTGTAATTATCATTATTTACAAATAATAACTCACATTTTTGAACTTCCTTTTTAGCAGGGCAATTTTCCTTGAGCTCTTCTGTCGGTTAAGGGTGCAATTTCTTGCCCGCTCCTTACGTTCCTGTTCTGACAAGTTTCTCCAAGGACAATGGCTGTTTACTTGGGTTATAGAATTCTCAGGTGGTTGTGGTTCAGTTGAAGTTGACAAATGTCGTTCTTTTGACAACATTGCATGTAGAGAATGACGATATGACTTACATGCCCCACACAACACACCAGGACTACCTTGTACAACACTGGAACAATTAGTAGGTCGAATGCAACCTTGTACCCAGGGTTTTATCTCCGCTCACCTCCCGCTGCGAAAAAACCCTGGTCCAGGCTGGTCACGTGACACTTTAATTTGCTATGTCCCTTGGGGGGGTCCGTGCGTCAAAATGTAATTACTTTGGCATTATCGTATTGGCAATGTTCTATAGCAGTCTTCACTTTGCAATAGTAAATAGCAATTATTGTAATATTATTTTGAAACCTAAGCAAGTGAAGTGTTTGGAAGCAATATATTTTGGTAGAGACGTTGTAGCTGTGTTACCTACGGGTTACGGAAAGTCACTGATTTTTCATCTTCTGCCCTCACTTTTTTACGACAAGTTCAATGGTGGAGACGAACGTCTGACGAGTGCGTCAATATACCATCCAGTCGTTATTGTAATATCGCCGCTAAATGCTCTCATCGAGAATCAAATTAAAAGAAGCTACCAAGGAAATATAAAGACAGGTGTGTTGAATGTTAAAAAAGGGGAAGAAACCGACGATTTGCGTTTGGATTTTACAGGCGCCAATTCGCTGCTCAAAGATGCAAAGTACGACATTATTTACATGCATCCCGAGGCATTCCTGTCTTGTAAGGAAGGAATGGAATTATTACAGAGCAAGCCTTATCAGGAATCCGTTCAATCGATTATTGTAGATGAAGCTCACTGTATTTTAGAATGGTAAGTTAGTAAATGTATAGT